AGGACAGGGAAAATGTTTTTTCCGTTATACTGTACCTACAATGCTGTCTGCCTAATCAGAATTAATTGGTTTTGATGAACACAGCTGTCTCAGTAGTGTGACTCCCCACCCCCAGCTTTAACTAGGATGAATCTCATTTAAATTATATTGACTGAAAAAAACATTGTAAATCAATTATTTTAGTAACCAGGAAGATACTTTAATCATTTCTTTCAAAATGTACAATCTTGCTTCATCTAACCTTAATATAGCATGTCTTCAGATCTCAGGAATAGACTATATTTGTGGAAGCTCCAATCTGAACTGCCAGAAGCAAGTCTCCTTCATAGTGTAGCTCAACCATTCAGCTCTATCTCTGCTAATTACCTAGTTTTGCTGACTGCATTTTACCCTACAGATCTGCAGTGCTATCCTTGCCTCAGCTGATGTCAGTCAAATTGCTCAAGTGAATGACATTGAAAATATGTTTTGAAAGGACTAGAATTATTTTGACAAAGAATGAATTATATTAAACTAAGAGAACATGCACAAATCAAAATTAATGTCTTCACAGTCTCATATACTATGTGACCAGACGTTATTGGTATTCTACTAAAATATTATTGGAATTTTTAAAAAGTAACTCAAATAAAATATTTAGCCTGGCCAATGTGGCACAGTGGATTGAACATCGTCCCATGGACTGAGGGGTCCTGGTTTGATTCCTGGTCAGGGCACATGCCGGGGTTTCAAGCTCCATCCCTAGTAGGTGATGTGCAGGAGGGAGCTGACCAGTGTTTCTCACACTGCTATTTCCATCTCTCCCTTCCTCTCTCTCTAAAAAAATCAATAAAAACATTTAGAAAGAAAAAAATGTATATGCATTTTTTCTTTTCAAAACCATTTCAAAGACATCTGTTTTTAATATTAGGGTTTTTAACACCATTTTAAGAGCTTTTCTAACTTTTTTATTTTATTAAAACATTTTTTTTCTTTATTGATTTTAGAGAGAGAGGAAGGGAGAGGGAGAGAGAGATAGAAACATCGATGAGAGAACATCGATTGGCCGCCTCCTGTGTGCTCCCCGCTGAGGATTTGGCCCACAACTTGGCATGTACCCTGACCGGGAATCAAACTGGCGACCTCTTGGTACATGGGTTGATGCTCAGCCACTGAGCAACACCGGCTGGGCACTTTCCTAATTTAAAAAAATTGAGGTATAATATAATAACATTAGATTAGTTTCAGGTGTACAACATAATGATATATTTGTATATATTGGGAATGATCACCACAGGAAGTCTAGTTAACATCAGTCACCATACATAGTTACAAAGGATTTTTTTTCCTGTGATGAGAACTTTTCAGATTTACTCTCTCAGCAACTTTCAAATATGCAGTACAGTATTATTAACTAAAGTTGCCGTTTTGTACATTACATCCCATGAATTACTTATTTTATACCTGCAAGTTTGTACCTTTGACTCCCTTTCCTCATTTTGTCTACCACCTAACCCTGGCCCCTGGCTACAATCAATCTGTTCCCTGTATCTAGGAGCTTGGTGTTTTTTACTTGCTTTAAGATTTCACATGTAAGTGAGATTATATGGTATTTCTCTTTCTCTGACTCATTTCAGTTAGCACAGTGCCCTCAAGGTCCATCATGTTGTCACAAATGGCAAGGTTTCATTCTTTTTATGGCTGAATAATATTCTATTATATATATTAACACATTTTTTAAACTAAATTAAATTTATTGGGGTGACATTGGTTAGTACATCATATAAGTTTCAAGTATACACTTTTGTAATATATCATATGTATATTGCATTGTGTGTGCACCACCCAAAGTATAGTCTCTTTCTGTCACCATATATTTGCCCCTTGCCTTTATCCTCTATTCCCTTCATTCCCCTTCCCCTCTGGTAATCACCATACTTTTGTCTGTATCAAGAGTTTGTTTTGTTTTGTTAACTCATTTGTTGCTTACTGTTTCATATCCCACATATCAGTGAAATCATATGGTTCTTGTCCTTTTCTGTTTGACTTATTTTGCTTAGTATGATACTCAAGATCCATCCATGTTGTCGCAAATGGTAGTATTTCATTCTTATGTCTGAATAATGTTGTAATGAACATAGGGATGCATATAGTGTTTTTTTTTAATCCTCACCTGAGGACATTTTTTTTTGGTACATGCCCCTAGCGGGAACTGAACCTGGGAATCTCCTGTCCGCAGGCTGACGCTCCAACCGCTGAGCCTAACCGGCCAGAGCTCACCTGAGGACATTTTTGCATTTATCTTTAGATAAAGCGGGAGGGAGAAGGGGAGGAAGAGAGAGAAACATTGATGTGAGAGAGGGAACCAAACTCATGACTCTCCCGTCTGTGGATCAACGCTCTAACCTCTGAGCAAAACTGGCCAGAGCTGTGCATATAATCTTTACGAATAAATCTTTTCAAATTTTTTTCAGGTAGATACTCAGTAAAGGAGTTGCTGGGTCATATGGTAGCTCTAGTCTTAATTTTTTGAGGAATCTCTCTACTGTTTTCCACAGTGGCTGTACCAGTTTACATTCCCACCAGCAATGAAGGAGGAGGGTTCCTTTTTCTCCACAACCTCTCCACTTATTTTTTGTGTCTTGTTGATAATAGCCATTCTAACAAGCGTGAGTTGGTATCTCAGTATAATTTTGATTTGCGTTTCCCTTATAGTGAAGTTGACCATCTTTTCTTACGTCCATTGACCATTTGTGTGTCTTATTGGGAGAAGTGTCTCTTCAGGTCCTCTGCCAATTTTTTAATTAGATTGTTTTTTTGTTGTTGAGTTGTATGAGTCCTTTATATATTTTGGATATTAGCCCCTTATTGGAGTTATTAGTTGCAAATATCTTCTCCCTTTCAGTTGATTGCCTTTTTGTTTTGTTGATGGTTTCTATTACTTTACCACATTTTCTTTATCCATTCATCCATCCACCGAACACTTAGGTTGTTACCATATATTGACTATTGTAAATAATGCTGCAGTGAACATGGGGGTGCATATATATCTTATCAAATTAGTGTTTTTGTTATGTTTGTATAAATGCTCAGAAGTTGGGATTGTTGGATCAGATGATAGTTCTGTTTTTAATTTTTTGAGTATCCCCCATACTGTTTCCCACAGTGGCTGCCCCAATTTACAATCTCACCAACAGTTCCCAAGGGTTTCCTTTACTCCACATCCTTTCCAACACTTGTGTTATTTCCTGTCTTTTTGGTAATAGCCATTCTTACAAGTGCGAGGTGATATCTTATTGTGGTTTTGATTTGCATTTCTCTGATGGTTAGTAATGTTGAGCATCTTTTCATGTATCTGTTGGCCTTCTGTATCTCTTTGGAAAAATGTCTATTAAGACTCTCTGCTCATTTTGGCCTGGCTGGTGTGGCTCAGTGGTTGAGCATTGACCCGTGCACCGAGAGGTCGCCAGTTTGATTCCCAGTTGGGGCACATGCCCAGGTTGTGGGCCCAGGCCCCAGTGGGGGGCATGCAGGAGGCGGCCGATCAATGTTCTCTCTCATCGATGTTTCTATCTCTCCCTCTCCCTTCCTCTCTCTCTAAAATAAAAGGGGAAAAAAAAGATCCTCTGCTCATTTTGAAATTCGATTGTTTGTTTTTTTGCTATTGAGTTATGAGAGTTCTTTATGTATTTTGGATATTATTCCCATATCAGATAGATGATTTACCAATATTTTCCCCATTCTAAACTTTTCTCATTATGTTATCAATACATGGTGGTGAAAATAGGTTTACAGTTGTAAATACATGAAATACACTTTATTCCTATATTATTATTTATTAGTTATTGTATTATTTTCAATATGAACAACTGTAAACCCACTCTTTGCCCCACCTTGTATTTTAAGCAAGTGTTGTAATATATATGCCTTTCAGCTTAATCCTTGACCCAATCTTAGAAGAATCAAGATATTTAGAATGTTTTTTCATGAATTTATAGGAGTAAGTAAGGTAGAGATTGTTCTTTTTGTATAAATCTTATCACCTGAGGGGTACAAATATTATGTTAGTTTTCCTGAATACCACTGGTCATGCAGTGGATACTAAAGATTCCATGAGCTGTAAAAAATATTTGAGTATATTTGAACATAATTTGCTTTGTAAAATCTTTATATGAATCTAGTTTTTGAGGTTTAACTGAAAAATTTTCACTTAGCAGATTTATTGTTAATTGTGGCAGGTTAAATTGCAGCTTAAAATATCTTTCAGAAGGTACTCTTATAGTATTTATATGAATATTAACAACATTTTGTTAGTTGATGCTCAGAAATGTTTTAAAAATTACAGACATCTAGGTTATGAAGACCTCTGTTACATGAGTTTGGAAAAACCTCAATTTTGATAATATGAAAGGCATCAATTATGATTCAATATTATGCTTGGGTTTAAGGAATTCCATGTCTTATTAAGACTCAGCTTGATGGAGTCTGGCGTTCAGACTGTTTAGAAAATGGTGACATCATTTGTACAGATTCAGTAACTGGCTAATGTTATTATCACTAATTGGGCATGTCATTTTTTTTCTCACAAAGTAAGGTCAAGACATCAGAGACAGGATAAGTTAGCTATGTCTGCCTAATGTTTGAAAATATTAATAAGTATTTCAGTTTTACAGGGCACATATCTAAGTCTCCCTTCAGAATTTCTACATTTTCTAGTTTTGAAGACATTAATTTCTATTTTGTAGTTTTAAGATGACCTATAATAATGTTACTATTTATGAAGTTAATGCATTTTACTTTCTGAGAATGAGAGTAATGATTGTTAAAAACAAATGACTCCAGGGAATATAAATTTTATTTGAAAATTTTACTTTACTTTTAGCTTAAAGAAACTTTTTCTCGAGTTTGATTTTACTCTAAAGATCATTCAAGGTTTCTTCATGCTGTGTTCATTTGATCAACTATTTAGGGACTGATTTAGAAATGATTTGCTACTTTTAGCTAATGGTGGTAATTTACAGCACTTTTATTATCCATTGTTATTTCAGAAATTATTAAAAACCTGATTGTAAAAGACATTTCACCTGGCATGCCTGAGGCAATTGATCGACTCTTCATGGACATAGCAAATATCAACAGGGAATCTATGGCTGACATACAGGATACTCAGGTTGGTATAAAAATAATTATATTTGATAAGTTTTGATGATGGATCATTTAAATTAATGTATAAGTAAAAATGATTTACCACATAGAAATCTACTTTTGGATTTTCAAGCCTAATGTTGCATTTAGGGAAAATAGTTTTAGAAACCAATGGAAAAATATGTGCTCAATTTTAATATTTACTATTTAACCTCTAGGCTTCAGTTTTCTCATCTGTTAAAGGAGAATAATAAAACACACTTCCTGGTGTTAACTGTGAATAGTAAACAAAATAATGTATTTAAGGTCACTAAATAGTAGTTCTCTTTTTCTTAACCTTTGCAGCAAAATAAAAAAATAAGTGGGGAACACAGTTGAATATAAGCCTTCAGGAGTGCTATTATTGGGGATATTTTTTTCTGGTGTTTAATGAGGGTCTGTCATTTAATTTAGCAATTGCCTTGAGGTTCTGAAATACTTTTGGGAATGTTTACTTTGGGGTTAATCCCTCCATTTTTGTGACTGCATATACAGAAAAGTGACTGTAACTCTCTTTTACATGCAATAGCTTTATTTAAATGTAATCATAAACCATATAATTGACCCATTTCAAGTATACAATTCAGTGATTTTTAGTGAGTGTTTCACAGAGTTGTGTACCCATCACCACAATTCATTTTAGAACATTTTCACCATCCCCAAAAGAAATCTTGCATCTGTTCAGAGACACTTTCCATTTCTTCCCCTTCCCTGCCCTAGACAACGTCTAATGTATTTTGTATCTGTATGAGTTTGTCTATTCTGGACATTTTCTATAAATGGAGTAATACATATGTGGTCTTTTGTGACTGAATTATTTCACTTAGCATAATGTTTTCAAGGTTCATCAATGTTACAGCCTGTATTTGTACTTCATTACTTTTCAATTTTTAAAATTAATTAATTTTTTATTGTTGAAAGTATTACAGATGCCCCCGCCACCCCCTCCTCCCTGCTCCCACTCCTCTCCTGCTTTCCCCAAACTAAGGTCTGTGTCCATTGGTTGTGCATATATGCATATAAGTTCTTTGGTTTATCTCTTCCTACCCCTTCCACCCCCCATCCCTCTGAGGTTTATTAAATTTTTATTTTTCGATTATTGTTTACATTCTATATATACTTCATTACTTTTTATGGGTGAATAGTATTTCATTCTTTGGCTATACCACCTTTTGTCTATCCATTTATCTGTTAATGAACACTTGGGTTGTTTAATCTTTTTGGCTATTACGAATAATACTGCTATGAAAATTTATGTACAGGTTTTTATGTTTTTATTTCTCTTCAGTATACACCTAGGAGTGAAGTTGCTGGGTCATATGGTAATTGTTTATACTTTTGAAGAACTGCCAGATTGTTTTCCAAAGTGACTGCATCTTTCTACCAGCGTTGTATGAGGGATCCAATTTTTCCACGTCCTCACCAATACTTGTTATTATCTGTCATTTTTATTATAGTCATCCTAGTGTTTTATTTCTAATTGTGGCACTATATATATAACATAACATTTACCATCTTAACTATTTTTAAATGTAAAGTTTAAATGTTAAATGCATTCACATCGTTGTGAACCAATCTATAAAATTCTGTTCATCTTGCAAAACTGAAATTCTATACCCAGTAAACAACTCCCCGTTCCCCTCTTGACTGAGCCCCTGGCAACCACCATTCAACTTTTTGTCTCTATAAATTGGACTACTCTTGGTGCCTAATTAATACAAGTGGAATCATACAGTATTTATCTTTTTGTGTCTGCCATATTTCACTTAGCATAAGTCCTCAGGTTTATCTATGTTTTATCATGTGTCCAAGTTTCCTTCCTTTTAAAGGCTAAGTAGTATTCTTTGGTATATCACATTTTGTTCACCTGTTTATCATTCCAGGGACACTTGAATTGCTTCCACTTTTTGACTGTTGTGAATAATGCATCTATGAATGTAGATGTACACATATCTGTCCCAGTTCCTGCTTTTAATTCTTTTGGATATATACCTAGAAGTGGGATTGCTGGGTCATATGATAGTTCTATTTTTTAATTTTTGGGGAACCACCATACTGTTTTTCATCAGTGGCTGCACCATTTTACATTTTCACCAACAGTGCACAAGTGTTCCAATTTCCACACATCCTTGCCAACAATTTTTATTTCTGTTTTTGTGATAGTATTATCCTCATGGGTATGAGGCAGTATCTCATTGTGATTTGATTTGCATTTCCCTGATGGCTAATGATGTTGAGCATTTTATTTATGTGCTTAGTGGCCATTTGTATATTTCCTTTGGAGAAATGTCTATTAAGATTCTTTGCCAAATTCTAAATTGAGTTGTCTTTTTATTATGAGTAATAGTTTTTATTCTTGATTCAAGTCACTTACTATATACATGATTTGCAGATATTTTCTCCAATTCTGTGAGTTCACTTTCCTGATTGTTTTAAATTTTGATAGCCTAATTTATCTATCTCTGGTACACCTATGATGTGGATGTTGTTATGCTTCATGTTTCCCAAAGTTCCCTTAAACTATCCTCATTCTTTTTGTAATTAATTAATTAATTTTTGTTACATATGTCCCCACTCCCCCCCCCCATAGACACCCGCTTCCTGTTCCCCCCAGTCCTCATTCTTTTTAACTTTTTTTCTTTTTGTTGCTCTGATTGGGTTGTTTTTCCTACCTTGTCTTCCAAATCACTGATTCAGTCCACTGCTTCATCCAATCTACTGTTATTTCTTCCATGTAGTCTTTATTTTTTACTGGTCATTTCTTATGGTTTCTATGTCCTTTTTCATGCTGTTGAACACCCTTATAACTATGACTTTGACTTCTGTATCTGATAAATTTCTTGCCTTTCATTTCTTTGTCTTGTCTGATTCCTGTTTCTAGGACTTCTGTTACTGTGTTGAATAAAAATGATAAAAGTGGTCGTACTTGACTTATTCCTGTTATGATGCTAGCTGTGGGTTTGTCATATTTGGCTTTTATTATGTTGAGATATGTTTGTTTTCTCTATTCCCACTTTGCTGAGAGGTGTGGTGTTTTTTAAAATCATAAATAGGTCCTGGATTTTGTCAAATGCTTTTTCTGCATCTATTCTTAGGATTACATGATTTTTATTCTTAATTTTATTTATATGGTATATCCTGTTCATTGATTTGTGGATATTGAACCAACCATGCAATCTGGTTATAAGTCTTCTTGATCATGGTGTATAATCTTTTTAATGTATCGCTGAATTCAGATTTCTAGTATTTTGTTGAGGATTTTTTTTTTTTTATCCTCACCCGAGGACATTTTTCCTTTTTTTGTTCAGATAGAGTGGGTGGGAGAGAGAGGAAGAGAGAGAGAAACATCGACGTGAAAGGGACACATCGAGTGGCTGCCACCCGCAGACCAACCAGGGCCGGGGACAAACGGCAACTGAGGTACATGCCCTTAGCGGGAACCGAACCCGGGTCTCTCTGGACCGCATGCTGACGCTCTAACCACTGAGCCAAACCGACCAGAGCTGTTGAGGATTTTTGCATCTATTTCATCAGGAATATTTTCTTTTTTTTGGTAGTGTCTCCATCTGGTTTTGGTATTAGGGTAATGCTAGCTTCCTAAAATGAGTTTGGGAGTGTTCCCTGCTCTTTAATTTTTTGCTATATTTTGAGAGGGATGGGTATTAATTAGTATTTGAATGTTTGGTAAAATTCACCTGTCCATCTATCTGGTCCAGGGTTTTTGTTTGTTGGAAGGTTTTGATTACTTATTCTATTTACTTAGAAGTTACTGGTCTGTTCAGATTTTCTCTTTCTTCCTGATTTAGCCTTGGAAGATTGTATGTTTCTAGGAATTTATCCATTTCTTTCAGGTTGTATGACCACTATTTTAAGTGGCTGAATAATATTCCATGTAGTGGATTTATCATAATCCATCTATATAGTTCTTTATTTTTGGATATTGATATTGCTCCTAATTTTTCACTATTATAAATCAAAATATAGGGAACAATAGTAAATAAAAAAAATGATCCCCTCAACATTTAGATTGTATCTGTATGTTAGAGTCTCAGAAAAGCAATTACTGGATCAAAACATATGAATAGTTTTTGGCCTTTTTTTTTTTTTTTTTAACATACTGTCAAATTGCTTTCCAAAATACCAAAAATGGCAGTTTCTTTAAGCTATTTTACTCTAGATGTTTACTTTCCCCCCTTAACACCATTTGTTCCCCTGGGAAATTTGGAGTCAAATATTAACTCCATGTGTTTTTGATAAAACTAATCCAATGATACTTCATGTGAAAGTCGTCATTAGGTCAACTGTGGCAAGGGTTTATTATATGAGAGAGATGAAGATAAGAATCAGAATTAGCCCCAGAATAATTAAAGAAATGACAGCAATGCTAAATAAATAATCTGTTTAAAGGGAGGCTCATCAGAAAAATGTGGAAATGTAGGTAAGAAAAGTGACACTAGAGAAAATACAATTAAAATATAATTGTGCACCTTTAATGTACATAAAACAGGATTTTTTGCTCATCCACTTAGTATTCCTACCAACCAATATGTTTTATTATAAGTCAGTGGTATATAGCTTCTGTCATAGTCACCATAGCACCCTTAGAGATTTAGGCCAAAACTATGCCATATTGGTCTCAGGCAATAGTAGCACTGAGGATCACTTATTTTCTTCAGAAGTCTCTTGCCAGAAACAAGCCTGTCCCAAATTCACATTTTCTGTGTGTCTTCATTTAATCCTTGAGACACTATGAACTTGATTTATTTTTGCATCTGACAGAAAGATAAACCCCAAAAGAAGCTGCTAGGAACTTTGCCCTCTATTCTTTTTTTTTTTTTATCCTCACCCGAGGATATTTTTCCATTTTTTGTACAGATAGAGTGGGAGGGAGAGAGAGGAAAGGGGAGAGAGAGAGAGAAACATCGATGTGAAGAGACACATCGAGTGGCTGCTACCCGCACGACCAACCAGGGCCGGGGACAAACTGCAACCGAAGTACGTGCCCTTAGCGGGAACCGAACCCGGGTCTCTCCGGACCGCAGGCCGACGCTCTAACCGCTGAGCCAAACCGGCCAGGGCTTGCCCTCTATTCTTTACAACAAAAATAATAAAACAAATTGTATTATGTGAGTATATATTATTTTAGTTTATTTTTATTGCATTCGGAGAGAGGAAGGGGGAGAGAGAAATATCAATGAGAGAGAAATGTCGATTGGCTGCTTCCCACATGCCCTTACTGAGGATCGAGCCTGTAAACTGGGCATGTGCCCTGACCAGGAATCAAACTGGTGACCTCCTGCTGCATGGGACAACGCTCAACCACTGAGCCACACCAGCTGGGCATTGAGTATATTCTTTAGCAATTTGGCAGGTACTATACATGCTGCATAAGTTGCAGGAGCCTAATTTGGAAATAAGAATAACAATTAAAGAATGATACACAATAGCATAATTAATTGCTCAATTATGTGAAACTCATCAATATAGGAATTCAAGGAAGAGAGAAATTAGACTGTAGTGGTTGCTGAAACCGTCTCGGATGTTCCTGGTGAGACTGAACTGGATTTTAGTTACATAAAGAGAATGGGCCCTGGCCAGTTTGGCTCAGCGTTCGAAGCATTGGCCTGCAGACCAGAGAGTCCCAGGTTTGGTTCCTGCTAGGGGCACATACCAAAAGCAAAAAAAGAGAGAGAGAGAGAATGGGAGGAGGTATATCAGGTGAAGTCAACACTATGAATAAAGGTGCACAGGTAGGAATGAACAAGTTGTGTTCATGGGACAGTGAGATAATTACTGTAATAGTGGGTAAAATTTTGAGAGGAAAAGTAGAATATGAGCAGATTATGGAGGCCCTGTAAATGACAAACAGCAGTCACATAAGCATAAAATATGTAAGAAAGAAAATGGACGGTATTGGAAATGCACAGTATTTTAACTAAGAAAATGTTTTTCTTCTCTAGATTGAAGAAATGGCAGTAAACCTGTGGAACTGGGCAGTTACCAGAAATGTCGGCTTGCTTATAAGTAAAGAGCAGAAAGCTAAATGTACGTATATATTTTGTAACTTGTTGTGAGGGGTATTCTTATTATAAATCAGGTTGTGTTCCTCCAATTTAAATAATATTTTGACCATTCTTAGGTGGAGATTTTTTAAAAGAAGACTAAGCCAAACAACCTATAAACAGTGGTTTCTCAAGCAAAGAGCCTCCCTTAGTTTTATGATTTTTCAGAAATTAGCTCTATATTAATAAAAGTTTCAAAGCATCACTGTAAAAAATAGGCTGGTGGTAAACAACAATGATGATTAAAGGGTGGGAAAATGAGAATTTGAGGGAACGTTAAAAGACATGGATTATTTTCCTTGGAGAAGAGATGATCTGAGTTCTAAAGGACCACCATTGGTGGTTTTGACTTATTAAGCTCAGGATGAAACCTGGGTATATATGTAATTTGAAAAAAATTCTCAGGACTTCTCATGCATATCAAATTTTAAGAACCAGTGGTGTTGAAAGAACAGAGTAATGAGATTTTAACCTTGAGTCTCCCAAGTCTGGGCAGAACAATAACAAGGGTAGGAGACCAAATGAAGGTCAAAATATTCTAGAAAAGACTACCTCTTTATTGAATACATAGTTCTGATAGGGTTGTCATATCATGTTAAGACAGACAGTAGGTGCCCTGGCTGGTTTGGCTAGCGGTTAGAGCGTCAGCCTATGGTCCAGAGAGACCCTGGTTCGGTTCCCGCTAAGGGCACGTGCCTCGGTTGCGGTTTGTCCCCGGCCCTGGTTGGTCGTGCGGGTGGCAGCCACACGATGTGTCCCTTTCACATCGATGTTTCTCTCTCTCTCTCTCTTCCTCTCTCTCCCTCCCACTCTATCTGAACAAAAAAAGTGAAAAAATGTCCTCAGATGAGGATAAAAACAAAACAAAACCAGGCATCATTATGCTTAAGGATCTTGGAAGGAACGGTTAAATGAACAAGAAAAACAAAGAATTCGTGAATGCCACAGGATACAACACTATGTGTTGTCTAAAGTTGATTTAAATATCAAGCTGTGGGCACTGATGGAGCAGAGTAAGGCAGACGTAAGGAGTCAGCACCTATCCAAGATGTTTATAATTTAGAGGGGCCAAGAACAGGCTGGTGAGAAGACAAGGATAGGGAAACACCAGCAACAACAACAACGAAAACATCTCTATACTGAAGCAGCATTCTGTCTCAGCTTCAGCTGCCTTTGGCCTGAAGGCTTATTGGTGATAACTGTAAACAGCTGGATTAAGAATGTGGGGATGGGAGCAAAATTCTTAGACTAAGGCATTTCCCATAGAGAGACACTGCTTAAAGCTGTGAGGTCAGAGAAGTCGTGTTTTTCAAAAAGGTTATGATAACTGAAATGTTGCTGTGAAACAGGGAACATGATCTTTGATAGTGCAGTTTTAGCAAAGTAGTAAGGATGCAAAAACACTGCAGGGGCTTAAGAAGATGAGCGCGTAGCGAGAAAATAGAGGTAGTAGATAAACCATCAATTCAAGAAGTTTGGCAATGAAAGGAAGAGGGAAATGGGATGGAAGTTTGAAGCACAGTGGGGTTGATTTTTTTTTTCCCAAGGACGGGAGATGGATATGCTTGAAGGCAGAGAGGAAGAAATAAATTGAGAGGGAGATACTGAAGGTGTCTTTGGAGAGGGGATATAATTGAGAGATCAGGCTCCTAAAGAATACTGTATTAGTACATTTTGGAAAAAATAAAGGAAACATTTTAAAAACTGGAAATGTAAGACAATGAAATACATGATTTTAGTTATTTTACTGAAAGTTTTTTCATAAATTAATTAATTTTGTTAAGGAATGAATAGACTGAATACTTCAATTACCCTGTAATTTCAGCTGTGTAAATCTCTTTTCAGTTGAATATTAATGAAAAATGGTTTTAGCAGCCTGACCGTTGCGGCTCAGTGGATTGAGTGTCCTCCCATGGACTAAGAGGGCCCAGTTCATTCCCGGTCAGGGCACATGCTGGGGTTGTGGACACGATCCCCAGTAGGGGGTGTGCAGGAGGCAGCTGACCCGTGTTTCTCACATCAATGTTTCTATCTCTCTTTCCCTTCCTCTCTCTCTAAAAAATCAATTAAAAACATATTTAAAAATGGTTTTAGTATAGGTAGAATGGCTACTGAGACCTACCATCAAGGGAGCTAGTTCAGTTATATGTGAAGTCATCCTTTAAAAAATTGGATGTTTCCCCTGGCCAGTTTTGCTCAGTGGTTAGAGCATCAGCCCGCGGTCCAGAGAGACCCAGGTTCAGTTCCCGCTAAGGGCACATACCTCTGTTCAATTTGTCCCCAGCCCCAATTGGGGTTGTGTGGGTGGCAGCCAGTCGAGGTATCTCTCTCACATCGATGTTTCTCTCTCTTCCTCTCTCCCTCTCCCTCTATCTGAAGATGTATGCAAAAAGTGTCCTCAGGTAAGGATAAAAAAAAAATTGGGTAAGTTTAAAAAATTTTTTTTTCTTTATTGATTTTAGAGAGAGAGGAAGGGAGAGGGAGAGAGAGAGAGAGACAGAAACATCGATGAGAGAGAACATTAATTGGCCGCCTCCTGCATGCCCCCTGCTGTGGATTTAGCCTACAACCCGGGCATGTGCCCTGACCAGTGACCTCTTGGTGCATAGGTTGATGCTCAACCACTAAGCCACACCAGCTGGGCCAAAAAAAAAAAAAAATTGGATATGTTTTATGATTAAAGAAACCACAAGTAAAGAGGTTATGATTAGTTAAGCTTTCCTATCTTCAGGGAAAATTAACTGTATAATGAAGATATCTGTATTTTCTAAATTACATTTTAAGAATTTTTACGCCATCTACAGCAAAGAATAAATGTAGAAAGTTTTGATTTTAGGAGACTAATCCACAACTATCCTTATGTTGTTTTACTTAGAATTATTTTGCTTTCAGTATGGACAACAGCAGCATGTGGAACCAGGTATCTTCAATGAATCTTTGGGGCTTAAGATCTGCAGAAATTAAAAACTTGAAAATTCAGTATCTGTCTGACTAGCATTAAGCAAATAATTCATTTGATACATTTCAGATCATTTACTTTTGATAATTTATTATTTAAAATTTTTTTTCTTTATTTTAGAGAGAGAGGAATGGAGAGGAAGAGGGAGACAGAAACATCAAGGAGAGAGAAAGAACATCGATTGGCCGCCTCCTACATGCTCCCCACTGGGGATTGGGCCTACAACCTGGGCATGTGCCCTGACCAGGAATCAAACCAGTGACCTCCTGGTACATGGGTCCATGCTCAACCACTGAGCCACACCAGCCAGGCTTGATAATTTATTTTATATGAAAAATATTACCAATGAGGCGCTGGCCGGTGTGCCTCAGTGGTTAGTGTCGGCCCTTGAACTGAAGGGTCTCAGGTTTTTTTTTGTCCTCACCCGAGGACATTTTTCCATTTTTTTGTTCAGATAGAGTGGGAGAGAGAGAGAGGAAGAGATAGAGAGAGAGAAACATCCACATGAAAGGGACACATTGAGTGGCTGCCACCCGCACGACCCAACCAGGGCCGGGGACAAACTGCAGCCGAGGTACACGCCCTTATTGGAAACCGAACCTGGCTCTCTTGGGACCGCAGGCTGACGCTCTAACCACTGAGCAAAACTGGCCAGGGCGATAATTTATTTTTTAAAAGGCTTTAAAAGTCTTATTTCTAACAACAATTACTTGTTTCACTTCACATCTCTTGTCTCTTTATAGGTTTATATAAAAAGAGAATGAATGTTTTGTGTTTATGGGTGTCTAATTACTGTTTTGCAGTACGACATGTTGCTTGCAAGTTGCTGTGTATGTGTGATGACACAGCTGCCACAGAAGAAGTTATTCACAGACGGATTTTGGTAAGTCCTACTTAAATGAGGACAAAGTACAAATGCAATGAGATTGTTATTACTCCTGTGAAGATGGTTAAAGTTAGTGTAAACCTGGAAGGGGGTTATATCCTTCAGTGTATTCATATTCCTTTTATGGTAATTATATCTATTAAAATTAAGGATATCAGTAGTGTTATAGTTGTTATTATAGTGATTCAGTGGACTCAATATTGAACTTATAATTCAGGATTTAGGGAAAGTAATGAAAATAATAAAAAGGAATAGTTCTCTGATTCATTCCTCCCTACCTCCTATTTTGTTCCCTAGAGGTAAGTGTGTATTTTCAGTGGAAAGTATTGTTTCCACTGTTTTAAAACAGCATTTCATTGAAAGTCTGAATTGCACACACAAAATCAATAAAATAATGCAATGATTCCCCCATTTACCCATGTGTAATTATCAACACATGACCACTTTTGTTTCTTCTGTATCTCCTCCAACAGTATATTCCCATGGGTTATTTTGAAACAAATCCAAAATACATCATTTTACCCATAAATATTTCAGAACATGTCTCCAAAAGACAAGGTATCTTTTGTTGTTGTTGTTGTTAATTACCCGAGGATACTTTTCCATTGATTTTTAGATAGAGTGGAAGGGAGGGAGGGAGAGACAGAGAGAGAGAGAAACATAGATGTGAGAGAGACACATTGATTGGCTGCCTCCCGCAGGATCCCAACCTGGGTGGGGATTGAACCTGCAACCCAGGTACATGCCCTTGACTGGAATTGGAACCCATAACCCTTTGGTCTGTGGGCTGACACTAACCACTGAGCAAAAAACCGGCCAGGGCTAAGGTATCTTTTATTCAAACCAACCCAATACCCATTATCACACTTGATAAAATTTCCCAGAGATTTTCTAAAATTATAGATATCTAGTCCCCCTTGCCCTGTCCGCCCTATCCCGCTCTTTCTCCCCATTCTAGTTGGTTTTTTAGAATCAGTTTAAAGAAAGCATTTTATTAATATCTCTGTTTTAATCTACATGTTTCTCCCTCCCTTTAAAAAAATCTGTTGACTAAGTTTATTTATTGAAGAAACCAGGTTGTTTATAGTTTCCTAAGTTCTGTATTCTGATGGCTGCTTCCTCACAGTGTCATTTAATATAGTCCTTCATACCTTGTTTTTACTGTAATGATAGATAGAAGCTTGGTATGATTCAGGTTCAGTTTTGTTAAGAATAATTCATAGGCTGGATGGTTGGTGTACTTCCATCAGAAAGCACTAATGTCTGCTTGTCTCTTTTTTCTTGTGTTAATGCCCTTTGATGATTTTTGTTCCCAGATCCATTATTTCTGGGAAATAATGTATCAAGTCAATAGCTTAATCACAGGGAAAGAATTAGAATTGCATTTTCTAATTCTGTATTCTTCTTTGTTTATTAACTGAAATAGAAACTTTCCTCATCAACTATCTGGTTATTCTAAAGTACACTTTTGCAAGAAAGATAGTCTTGATTCTTTATCTTTAGCATTTCTTCAGAATAGTGAGTTGGTTCTCTAAGATCCTTAAATGATGACCAAATAGGTTTTTAAAAAGTCTTATTGTGAACTTACAGATTTTAACATATTTAATGAATTTCAATCCATTGGGAGTTATTCTTTTTATTGAAGCACAATATCCCATCTTTGGCCAGAAGGAGACTCTCTTTAAGTGATTATAAGTCCTTTTGATATGACCCCAGTAGTCTTTAATAATTTCATTTGATTTCTGAGATGACAAGATATCCAGGCTCACCTTGCATACTTCCTGCCTAAGACCTGGAATCAGCCATTCTTCCAAGGAACCCTGTTTTCTTTTAGTGGAGAATGTTAAGAAACCACAATCTGGACATTACAAGCACTTGTTGTTACTGCATTGGTCATTATTTCTAGACTTTTTGAAGTGGACAGAGCTAGGAAATACATATTTTTTTTAAAAAAAGAGAAAATACATAATGAGTTCACACTGATATTTTCAGTTGACATTTAGGGTTATGCAGCGGTTCTCAACCTGTGGGTCGCGAGGATCGAATGATCCTTTCACAGGGGTTGCCCAAGGCATAACAGTAGCAAGATTCCAGTTATGAAGTAGCAATGAAAACAATTTTATGGTTGGGGGTCACCACAACATGAGGAACTGTATTAAAGGGTCGCGGCATTAGGAAGGTTGAGAATCACTGGATTATAGGGTTTTACTTCTTGATTTTATATTTGTGTCTTTTTTCTCTGGCACTAACAATCTTGGTGTCCGATAACATTAACATAATAACTGTTTTATTCTAAAAATGTATACTTAAAATAGTTTCAGAATATATCAATATCAATATTATTACTAAGAGTGATTTCTGAAAACAGTTTACAAATTTTTTGTACTTTTAGTCTTAGAATATTATCCCACTTAGAGATGTATAGTCAGAATATTGTTTTATACTATTAAAATACTGTTTTAAAATTACTTGAAATAATTTCTTTTCCTGTGATTAAGCTATTGACTTGATACATAGTTGGGTTCAGTTTTTGTATTTGCTTTTGGTTTTTAGTGATTCCTTTCCCCCTATGTTGATTGAATTTTGTTTTATAATTATGTAAAATATTTACATGGTTCTGAAGTCCAGTCTTCTAAAGGAAATATATTCAGGTAAGTGTAGCTTCTATCTCTGTCCTCTCCACCTGGTTCCCTCCTTGTCCCTGTAGTTAACTATTTTGTTTATTTTATTGCTTATCCTTTTGGTTTTTAAATATAAGCGAACAGGCATATATTCATATTTTTTAAGCCCCAAAGTTCTTAGATAAGTGGTGGCATTCTATACTTTTCTCTACCTTTAAAAAAAAAACTGTTTACCATTATATCCTACAAATCACTCCATAGCAGTATATAGAGATATTACTAATTTTTATAGCCACATAATATTCAGTTGGTACATGTACCTTATTATATTAAACCGTCCCTCTTCGATGGATATTTATGTGCTGTAGTGAATTTTCTTGTGCATATGTCTTTTCCTATTTTAAGGTTATTACTTGTAACCATTTCTGTTTTCACTTCTCCTGATTACCTCTATGTACCTTAATCATATGCTTGTATCACTGTTTTAGTTTGCTAGGGCTGCCATAACAAAATACTACAGACTGGGTGGCCTAAACAACAGAAATTTATATTCTCACAGTTCTGGAGGCTAGAAGTCCAAGATCAAGGTACTGGCAGGTTTGGTTTCTTCTGAGGCCTCTCTTCGTGGCTTGCAGATGGCCGCCTTCTCTCTGTGTGTCTTTATATGGCTTTTCCTCTATGTGTGTGAGTCCCTGGTGTCCCTTTGTGTATCTAAATACCCTCTTATGAAAACACCAGTCAGATTGGATTAAGGCTCTCACCCTAATGTGCTCATTTTAACTCTGTAACTTTATTGAAGACCCTATCTCCACATAGAGTCACATTCTGAGATACTGGGAGTAAGGGCTTCAACATACAACGTTTGAGGGTCACAATTCAGCCCATAGTAATAATAATTAAATTTTTTGTTTGTTTTTTGAGATTGTTGGAAAAAGTTTAATAGGCTGGAGAAATCTGTAAGACCCAAAGGCCGCATCTGGAGGACAAAAGGAAAGTGCCCCTCTGGTTGCGGTTAATGAAAGTACCTATTATTAGGTTCCCTTCGAGGCTTTCAACCCATATTTGGTGGAGAACAGAGTGATTCTTTAAGAGTGTGGAGATTTCTTCAGATAGTTGTTTTGTCTTGGCTTCAGTTACTTCAGAGCCTTCCCAGGCAGTGCCTGTCATTCCGAAGCATGTATTAGTTTCAGCTTATTTCCAACGCAGCTATCCTTGGCTCTGAAAAGCTGTCATCACTGGCATCGCTGTAGCTATCACTTGGTTGCAGTTTGTCCCAGGCCCCAGTTGGGGTTGTGTGGGTGTCAGCCACTCAATGTGTCTCTCTCACATTGATGTTTCTCTCTTCCTAATTAAATCTGTTTAAATATTAAATTTATTGGGATAACATTGGGTAATAATGTTATATAGTTTCAGGTGTAAGATTTTATAATACATCATCTGTATATTCCATGGTGTTTTCAAGTCTATTAATTTTTTTAGCTTTAGTTATTTTTTTAATTAAAAATTATTTTTAAATTACTATAATTTTTTTTTGTTTTCAATTTTTTATTGTTGAGAGTATTACAGGTGTCCTCTCCTTTTCCCTCCCATTGTCTCCATCCTCCTGGTTCCCATCCTGCCCCAGGCCTTCACCACCCTATAGTCTGTGTTCATGGGTCATACACATATGCATGTAAGTTCTTTGGTTAATCTCTTCCTGCCCCTTTCCTTCCCAAGGACATGTTTAGAGAGAGGAAGGGAGGGGAGAGAGAGAGAGGGAGAAACATTAGTGTGAGAGAGAAATATTGGTTGCCTTCTATACATTCCCCAACTGGGCATCAAACCCACAGCCTGGGCATGTGTACTGATCAGGAATTAAACCAGCAACCCTTTGGTGCGTGGGCTGACGCTCAACCAACTGAGCCACTCTGGCCATGCAAATCTATTAATTTTTCATTATTGCTTTTCTTAATACCATTTCTCTTAAATTACAGAGTTCAAAACAGAGCACAGAACTCTAATAAATGCTATTACCTTTTTGTTTTCTGTGGATTACACTACTGAATATGGACAGAAAATAAAATATTTTCTCCAGTACTCTCAACCAGTTTGGAGGAGGTGTGATTTTAAAAAATATATTTTCTAATTTTTCTCTTCCAGATGACTATGAAAACAGGCAAAGGGTGGGTGGATGTTGGAAATGCTGTGATGGCTGATGAGTTTTTTCAAGCTGCCTTGACTGTAAGTTACCACTGATTTTTAAAGCTGTGGCAATAATTAGTAACAGTTGTTATTCTCATTATTACATAGTATTGTGGTTTTATTTTTTCAGGGTCTGGAGCAATTATATGCCAAAATTATGGAGAGGAGCTGCAGTGAGACCCAACTGACTATGCAGAAGCTGGCTGTGGAGAGGAATCTTTTCAAAGTGTATTCTTACCAGGCAGAATCAGTAAGTATCATAGTCACCAGGACCTCACAGTGAGGGATTTTGTATATGTAAATGCAAAAGTGGTTATATGTAACCTATTTGAAGAAGGTCAGGTGTCATTAGAGCCTTCTCATTTGCAATTGTTCTGGGTTGTTTGCTGATGTTTTCTAAAAGTCTACTGCTATCAGTGTTCAGAGTTGTACTTTACCTGTGTTTGGCTTCTGGATTTCCTCCTCTTGTCACCATACAGTTTGTGTGCATTTTCAGTTGACAAAATATAAGCCACGATGAGTTTGTGCTCTGTAATTATGTAATTCTAGAAATGAAAGAGACCTTAAACATGATCTTGTATAATCCTTTTGTTTTTATTTTTAACATATTTATTGAGATATAATTTATATACTATAAAATTCACACATTTAAAATGTATAATCCAGTGGATTTAGTATATTCACAAAATTATGCAGTCTTTACCACAATCTAAGATTAAAGCTTTTTTTTTTTGGTATGTGCCCCTAGCGGGAACCGAACCCAAACCAGGGACTCTCTGGTCTGCAGGCCAACACTCCCAACTGCTGAGCCAAACCGGCCAGGGCAGTTTAAAGCATTTTCATCACCGCAAAATGAAACCCCTACCCGTTACCAGTCACTCCCCATTCCTCCTGACCCCAGCCTAGCAACCACTAATCTACCTTCTGTCTCCATAGATTTATCTGTTCTGGACATTTCATATAAATGAAATCACACAATAAGTACTCTTTTGTGATTAGCTTCTTGAGCGTGTTTTCAAGATTAATCTGTGTTGTATCATGTATCATTACTTCATCTTTTTATTACTAAATTATGTTTCACTATATGGATATACCACATTTTGTTTACCCATTCATCCATTGATGAACGTTTGGATTGTTTTCAATTTGGGGCTATTATGAATAATTCTACTGTGAACATTCATGTACAGATTTTTTATGTACATATTTTTATTTCTCTTACGAGTAGAATTGCTGAATATCATGGTAACTCTATGTTTGACTTAAAAATTTTTTTTATTTCCACTGATTTTTTATTTTTTAGAGAGTCTGGAAGGGGGAGGGAGGTAGAGAGAGAGACACACACATCGATTAGTTGCCTCCCACACAGCCCTGGTTAGGGCCAGGGAAACTGCAACCTAGGCACGTGCCCTTGACTGCAGTCGAACCCGCGACCCTTTGGTCCTCAGGCTGATGTTCTAACTGCTGAGCCAAACTGGCCAGGGCTATATTTAACTTTTTATGAAACTTCAGTACAATTTTCCACAGTGACTGTAGTAGTATATGAAGGCTTCGGTTTCTCCATATCTAAGAGTTTTATAGTTTTAACACTTAATTTAGATCTATGATCAATTTCAAGATAATTTTAGAGTATGGTGTGAGGTGAGGGTCCAGATCTATGATCAATTTCAAGATAATTTTAGAGTATGGTGTGAGGTGAGGGTCCAACTTCATTTTTTTGCATGTGGCTATCTAATAGTCTCAGCAAGATTTACTGAAAAGACTGTTCTTCCCCCATTGAATAGTCTTGGCACTCTTGTCAAAAATCAGTTTATCGTAAATGTGAGAGTTTACTTCTGGACTCTGATTTTATTCCATTTTGATCTTATGGCAATACCTCACTGTTTTGATTATAGTATCTGTGTAATAAGTTTTGAAATCAGAAAGTGTGAGTTCTCCAACTTTGTTATTTTACATGATTATTTTGACTATTTTGGGTCTCTTGCATTTCCATATGAATTTTAGGATAAATTTGTCAATTTATGCAGACATGCCATCTGGGATTTTGATAGGAATAGCATTGAATCTGTAGGTCAGTTTGAAGAGTTTTGCTATCATAAAGATATTAAGTAGTTTAATTTATGAATATGGGATGGTTTCCAATTTATTTAGTTCTTAAATGATGAATATATCCATTTTTTGTGTCTTCAGTTTCAACAGTGTCCTATAGTTTTCAGTGTATAAATTTTTCATCTCCTTTGGTTAAATTTACTCCTAGGTATTTTATTCTTTTTGTTGCAATTGTAAATAGGATTGCTTTCTTAATTTCTCTTTCCATTTTTTTAAATTATCAAAGACATGTTTTGTAAATTGATTTTAGAGAGAGAGGAAGAGGGGGAGAGAGAGGAAGGGGGGGAGAGAGAAACACATTGATGTGAGAGAGAAACATCCATCTGTTGCCTCCTGTATGTGCCCTGACCCAGGACTAAACCTGCAACCTAGGTATGTGCCCTGACCTGGAATTGAACCTCTGCAACCTTTTGGTGTACCGGAAGACGTTTCAACCAAATGAGCCACCTGGCCAGGGCAATTTTTCTTTCTAACTTTTTGTCGATAGTGTATAGAAATGCAACAGATTTCTATATATTGATTTTTGTACCTTGCAACTTTACTATATTTGTTTATTTCTGATTTTGGGGGTGGTTCCTGTATATAAATTCATGTCATCTGCAAATAGTGACACCTTTACTTCTTCCTTTCCAATTTGGAGGCTTCCCTTCCCTTCCCTTCCCTTCCCTTCCCTTCCCTTCCCTTCCCTTCCCTTCCCTTCCCTTCCCTTCCCTTCCCTTCCCTTCCCTTCCCTTCCCTTCCCTTCCCTTCCCTTCCCTTCCCTTCCCTTCCCTTCCCTTCCCTTCCCTTCCCTTCCCTTCCCTTCCCTTCCCTTCCCTTCCCTTCCCTTCCCTTCCCTTCCCTTCCCTTCCCGTCCCTTCCCTTCCCGTCCCTTCCCGTCCCGTTCTAGATAGGACTTCAAATACTGTATTGATGATAATTATGGAAAATATTCTGTGCTCATGGATTGGAGGGATTAACACTGTTAAAATGTTCATGTTACCCAAAGCAATCTACAGATTCAAGGCAATCCCTGTCAAAATCGCAATGGCAGTTTTTTTCTGAGAAATATAACAGAAAATCCTAAAATTTGTGTGGAACTACAAAAAGATGCCAGATAGCCAAAGGAATCCTGAGAAAAAAACAACAAAGCCAGAGATATTACATTCCCAGATTTCAGACTATACTATAAAGCTTTAGTAACCAAAACAGTATGGTATTGGCAGAAAAACTGACACATAGATCAATGGAACAGAATCAAGATCCAGAAATAAACTCACACATATATGGAAAACAAATTTATGATGAAAGAGCCAAGAGTATTCAATGAAGATAGAAATGTCCCTTTAATAAATGGTGGTGTGCCAGTTAGTTTGGCTGCGTGGATTGAGTGCTGTCCCATAACTGAGAGATCCCGAGTTGTGGGCTCCATCCAGTTGGGGGCGTGCAGGAGGCAGCCGATGGATGTTTCTCACATCAATGTGTGTCTCTCTCTGTAAAAAATCAATTAAAAAAACTATAAAAATTTAAAAATAATAAATGATGTTGGGAAAACTGGACAGCTGCATGAAAAAAATGAAACTAGGCTACTCTTATGCCATAGTAAAAAATTAACACAAAATGCCCAGAAATCAACCCTATGTCTTTATGGTCAATTAATATTTGATAAAGGAGGCAAGAGCATACAATGGAGGTAAGACAAGTCTCTTTAATAAACGGTGTTGGGAAAATTGGACAGGTGCGTGCAAAAAAATGAAGCTAGACTGCAAACTTACACCACACAAAAGAATAAACTCAAAATGGATAAAAGACTTAAATGTAAGGCGTGAAACCATAAAAATCCTAGAAGAAAACATAGGCAGTAAAGTCTCAGTCATCTCTTGTAGCAATATTTTTACCAATACATCACCTAGGGCAAGGGAAACAAAGGAAGAAATAAACAAATGGGACTACATCAAGCTAAAAAGCTTTTGCACAGCACAATAAACCATCAGCAAAATGAAAAGGGAGCCCACTGTGGGAGATCATATTTGCCAGTGATACATCTGATAAAGGGTTAATTTCTAAAATATATAAAGAACTTACAGAACTCAACAACAGGGTGATAATCCAATTAAAACGGGCAGGGGATCTACATAGACACTTCTCTAAAGAAGACATACAGATGGCTACTAGACATTAAAAAATGCTCAATGTCACTAGTCATGAGAGAGATGCAAATTAAAACCACAATGAGGTATCACCTCATCCTGCCAGAATGGCTACCAGCAATAAATGAACAAACAACAGGTACTGACGAGGATGCTGAGAAAAGGGAACCCTCCTGTACTGCTGATGGGAAAGTAAAATGATGCAGCCACTGTGGAAAACACTATGGAGTTTCCTCAAAAAATAAAAAATGGAACTGCCTTTTGACCCAGTGATCCCACTTCTGGTAATATATCCTAAGAATCCCAAAACACCAATCTAAAGAATACATGCACCCCTGTATTCATAGCAGTATTATTTAGAGCCCAAGACTGTTATTTAACATAAAAAAACTTGTCTAATACAAGACCTATTCTGTTAGACATGACATTATATCATAATGTAATAACATAAGACTGTACACCAGTTTCAGCATTTCCAAAAAAAATAAACGACTCCCGGTCATACAGTGTCAGTTCTGTGTTACCCAAGATTCTTGCCATTTATTTCTCTGTATTTTGAGCTGGCTAGAAAACAAATGAATTTTAAATAATAGTTAGAATATGTCAAAATTGACTTGTAGACAAAAAGCTTGTTATTTCATTATCGACACTTTTCACTTTCCCAGGCGATTGCTCAAGACGATTTTCAAAGAGCGTCTACATGTGCAATGCGCTGCAAAGATATGTTGGCGAGGCTCCCTAAAATGGTGAGTGAAATTTCTGCATTATTCTTGAAGAGTTTGAAAATATGTCATATCAAGTTTTAGGAAGAATTATTGATACTTTATGCAACCCTTTAGAGATTATATTGAAATCAGTTCCACTTAGCTGATCTTTATTTATTTATTTTATTTTGTTAATCCTCACTGGAGGATATTTTTTCCATTGATTTTTAGAGAGAGTGGAAGGGAGGAGGAGAGGGAGAAACATCTATGTGAGAGAGCATATCGATTGGTTGCCTCCCACATACACCCTAAGCAGAGCTGGGGATCAAACCTGCAACCCAGGTACGTGCCCTTGACCAGAATCGAACGCCCAACCCTTCCGTGCTCAGGCTGACGCTCTGACCACTGAGCCATGCTGGCCAGGGCCACTTTAAAATAGTTTGCTTGCTTTGTTGTATACTAGAAAGGGTGTTTAAAAAAAGCAATACGAGTTATTTAAATTTCTTTGCTTTCCTTTTTATTGTCAAACCATTTTGATAACATTTCCTCCATATTTCATGCTATGTGATAAAAGAAAGAAAAAATGAGTTTATTTCCCTGCTGGCAAGGTTGGCGTATCACTGCAGTAGTATTTTTCTATATTGGGATTTGGAGGTGTGAGAGATTTCATAGGATAAATAAAGCTTGCTTCCCAGGCTGGATCTCATCAGATTTCCAGAGCTGATAAGTTTTTATTTTTCCACTTTATCTCCCTTTTCCATTCTTTCTCCCGTTTCAGAGTCTATGCCTACTTCAGTGTTTGCTATCACAGAGGTAACTGATAACAAAGATATATTTGGAAGTTAGGGGAAATGTTCTGAGGGTTCCATAAATTGTACTTACTTGTGAGATTGGTCTTTACCCCCAAATTCTGTGTAACAATGTAGAACTTAATTCAGTAAATATTTACATATTGCCAATTATATGCTAGGTATTCTCCTAAGATTTTTTGAGAGAGAGGAAGGGAGAGGGAGAGAGAGACATTGATGTGAGCACGAAACACCAACTGGCTGCCTCCTGAACGTCCCCTACCGGGGATTGAGCCTGCAATCCAGGCATGTGCCCTGACTGGGAATTGAACTGGGATCTCTCAGTCCATGGGACGTCGCTCAATCCACTGAGCAACACCGGTCAGGCTCTCCTTTACCTTTTTCACCCATCTCTCTACCTCTCTTCCCTCTGTCCAGGCCAGAAAGTGATTGTTAACTCTGAAGATCAGTGAAAGTATTTAGGCTATTTTTTTATGTGCTTAAGGTTTAGGCAAGGGACCTGACAATCTAGGGCAGGAAATCTCACAATGATAGGAAATGATCAGATAAAGATTGAAGAAGCACTAACATAGTGTTTTAAAAGGAATTAATTAGTTAAATTAACCAGCTCTCTTTTTTTCTGAGATATCTTTCCTGTATCCCAAAACTAGATTAGGAATTATTGTAAGGTGTTGACACAAAGGCAGAAAATTGTATTTTAGAGCACCAGGAGAAATAACTAATGGCTTATTGTCAGTTATTACTGAGATAATCTGAAGATTAGAGAAAGCTGTATAAGGGAGGGATTAGAAGGTAAATGTCTTAAAGCCAGTAAGGAAGAAAACCAGGCAATTATCATTCAATTTTTGCTCCCTTATTAGAATTGAATTTATAAATGTTTAAAAGACAACAAAAACACAAAGAAAAATAGCTTGGAATTTGGGACTGGAAAAATAATAGGAGGTTGGTTATACTGAATTTGATAAAAACCCAATTTACAAAGTAACTTGTGAAAAATGAAGTTATCTAGTTAATTAAAAATAAAAAGCCGTGTCACAAACTGGAAAGTTAGTGGTCAAACTCATTTTCAGCAGCAATATCTCATTGCGTTTAAATCATTTTATGTGATCTCATTTTGTCATTGTAATGTAGGTATTCAGTTGGAGCTGTCATTTTGGGGCCAGGACTTGTAGCAGTGGCTGGAGGTTCTAAGATCCCATGGGTCCTGGAGATCACATAATGCATTAGTAAAAACCAACATACAAAACATTTACAGCTCTACCTGCTTTGTATTTTTATTTCAATTATGTATTGCTTGCAAAATGAAATGTTGGCACTCCATAGAAAGCTAGGAACATATTTTTGAAAGAGGTATTTTTATTCATCTTAGTACTTCATACCCCATTGGAAATGTTTCACATCTGGCCATGTGGCTCAGTGGATTGAGCATCATCCCATGGACTGAGAAGTCCCGGTTCAATTCTCTGTCAGGGCACATGCCCGGGTTGCAGGCTCAATGCATTTAAATACTTCTGGATTCTTGCCGGACCCACATTACCAAGACTACTATTTATTTTAGATTTAAATATACAGTAGGTCTGATGTGAGCAGGCATGTATATTGAATTTCTGAATGTGCTGTAATTCAAAGGGGAACTTTTCTGAAGCAAGACAGGTCTTTACATATTATTTATGATTAACTTGCCTCATATCTCAGATTTCTGAGGATCTGTTTCTGTAGTCTTACTGAGGTAAAACTTAGAAAGGACTCCTTTATGTGTGTATAATCAGATTCTGGATAGATGGTTCCTGAAGGGGATAGATGGGTAAATTATTAGAATTAAAAAGTTTTCTCTTATGCCATTTGCCAGTATTTTGACAGATGAAAATTCTGTAAAATATGGCATTGATGCAGGGACTGAGAATATGATTAACCCATAAAAAAGTATTTTTCTATGGCACCATTCACATGCTTGTTTCTACTTTTATCTTAGTGGTAATATATGTCAAAAAACTTTTATTGTTAAAGAGGGTCCATTAAACTAAGTATATTTGAATAAGTCTTATGACTAGATAAGTGCTTTGGACACATTTCAGAACTTCAGAATTTTTTTATAGTTATCTTAACTTTGGAAAAAACTATCATTTTTTCCTTCCCTCAATGGTGAATTTTTTTTGGCTTTGAATATAGTCTCTAATCTAAAGCCTTTTACTGAATTTGACAACCTGCAGAGTCATTTTAGCCTGTCCTTTTGCTGGACAGTGATTAGATTTTCCAATTCCTGTTATGAAAGGACCTTTCAAGTTCTGTTAGTAATACATCGTATTACTTTTCCACACATAACTAATTTCCCAACCTGAATATTATGTAGCTCCTCTTTAAATAAATTGAGAGGTTTTGATAAGAAAGAGTAGGTTATTTTGATGAACAGAACACTTTATGTCTTAAAGACTCTGAACTGCTATTATAATTGGACACACCAATTATGTGACCATTCTGGATTTCATTTTGATTAAAAAAATAGAAATTTATTCTCTCACAGTTTTGGAGGCTTGCCAACTGAAGTTAAGGTGTCTCTCCGCAGGGCCATGCTCCCTCTGATGGCTTTAGGAAAGATTTATTTCTTTGCTTCTTCTAGCATCTGGGCAAATCTTTGGCATGCCTTGGCTTATAGATGTATCACTCCAGTCTCTGCCTCTGTCTTCATATGGCAATCTACTCTATGCATCTGTGTGTCTCCACATGGCTTTTCTTTTTCTTTGTTTTTGGTTTCTCTTTTCTTTACTGGCTGATTTGTAGGTGTCACTTCACATGGCTTTTTATTGATTGGTTGGTTTTCAGAGAGAGAGAGTAGAGGTGAGAGAGAAAGAAAAACATCAATTTGTTGTTCCACTTATTTATGTATTCATTGGTTGCTTCTTGTATGTGCCCTGACCAGGGATTTAACCCAGAACCTTGGTGTATTGGATTGATGCTCTAACCAACTGAACTTGGCCAGGGCCTCACAGAGCTTTTTTAATAAGGATAATAGTCATTGGATTTTGGGCCACTCTAATCCAGTGCGATCTCCTCTTTTTTTTTTTTTTCGGTTAATCCTCACCTGAGGATATTTTTTTTATTAGTGTTTAGATAGAGTGGAAGGGAGGGTTGCCTCTTTATGTTTGTTTCTGTGTATTAGATAGAGCTGCTATGTCTCCTGGTCTTAATAGAGTAGCCTAATGTAGTAGGTGTCCTGTGGGGCCCAGTGGCACAGCGTTCTCGTTACCTGAACTGGGCATTCCAGGTGGGTCCCTTCATGTGGGCTGTGTGCACCCTCCTATTGTAGTTGATCCTTGATTGCCATTGGCATGTCAATGGGAGGGATTTACTCCCAGGCTGACCAGCTGCGAGGACTGGCCCCAACTGCAGCAGAGGAGCTGTTGTGCAGGTGGGTGGAGACTCAGATAAGGCATTTGCCTGCTGGTTCTGTGGGAGGAGTGCTAAGTAAAGGAATCACTGCTGGTTTTCACAGCCAGAAGATATGGGGACTTCTCTTCCTGGCACTGGAACCCTGGCCAGGGAGGCCTAGTGTGGGGCTGGGATCCCTCCCTTCTCAGCAGCTCAGATATCCCTTCAAATTTTAAGTACCACATGTGGCCGTAGGACCAGCTTGTTGCACAGCTCTGTCCCTCCTACCAGTTTCATTGTGGCTTCTTCTGTATATCTTTAGTTGCAGGACTTCTGTTAAGCTAGATTTCAGGTGGTTTTGAATGATGGTTGTTCTATAGTTTAGTTGTAATTTTGATACAGTTGTGGAAGGATGCAAGTACTGCATTTAAGTACGCTGCCATCTTGATCAGAAGCCCAATATAATCTCTCTAGATATTTTAATGTTAAGGAAATCATGATCTAACATATCTTTTTTAATTATTTTTATTGCAGGCTGAATATCTTCATATTCTCTGTTACAACTTTGGAGTAGAAAACCACATGCTGAATAAATATGAAGAAAGTTGCTACTGGCTTAGGTAATATGAACAAAAATAATTATAAATTTAAGAATATTATTGTAAAATTCAGTTAATATTTATTATAGGGTACTTTGGCAGTTTAAACATTCTCTGACTTCAAAAGCCAACATGCTAAATTTATTTACCCCTTTAACATGTATTGTTTATTGTTCTTACATGTTGCCAGTGATAGAAAAATGTTTTCTGATCTTAATATAACATAAGAGCATGCCCTACCTCCATTCCTGCTTTGTATCTTTATCAAGAATACAGAATTTTTTTTTTTGCTTTGGGACATATTACTGTTTGCGAACCCCACAGTATAAGGGTAGGAGGGGTGGTGAGAATGGGATCAGCTAAAATCATTAGTCTTAAATGAATTTTGGTATTTTATTATCAGTCAACTTAGTATATATGTAGCACTTACTATATGCTCAGTATTATGCTAAGATTTGTACTGTTGTGTTGAATATGGGAATATCAAGAGAATAGTGCAAAAAATACAGCAACTATATGCACAAACTCTGTCTTTTACTGAATACGTAGGCCCAGCACAGATTGACAAATAGTAGATACTTAGTAATTTCTTGTTAAATGATTTTACGTGAAAATGTATTTTTCTGGAGATATCACATAAGATGCTTTGAATATTAGGGGATCACAGAGTAAAATATATCACATCAATTCAGCAGATTTTTTTCTTTCTTAGTGCAGGGTTAGTTCTGGTTGTTTGGAGATATTCCCATGATTAAACTATTGCAAAATTTACATTTGCCATTAATGAAATAAATACAACTATGGTTATTAAGATTATAGTAGTCATAGGTGTATATATCTCTAACAAAATATTTATGCAAATACCTTGTTTATGTAAAAGACTTTAGAGCTCAAAGATTGATCAAACCATAAAGAACTGTACTTCCACTTTGCTGTACATCTGAAACTAGTGTGGAATGGTATTGAATGTAAACTGTGGTTGAGAAAAAAAACTATGCCTGCCCTGGCCAGTGTGGCTCAGTTGGTTGGAGCATCGTCTAGTACACTGATAGGTGGGGGGGATTGATTTCCTGTCAGGGCACATACCCAGGTAGAGGATTTGATCCTCAGTCAGGTGCTTATGAGAGGTAGCCAGTTGATGTTTCTCTCTCACATTGGTGTTTCTCTCTCAATAAAAAACAGTCCTCGGGTGAGGATTAGAAAAAAACAAGAACTATGCCTGACAGAACAGGCTTACACAGTTATAAGAGCTATACTTGTCTCGATTTAGAATGCTTCATGCAAGTGCAGTATGCCTGAAATTTTTATTTTAAATCACGTTTTTATAAATTGAATTATTTAAAATATACCAAAAGAGCTAACTAGTCTAGCATAGGTTTTACGGCAGGTTTCCTTTAAAGAAACAACCTTTTTATAAAGTGAATGATCTACCTGGCCAATGTGGCTCAGTGGATTGAGCATCCTCTCATGGACTGAGAGGTCCCGGTTAGATTCCCGGTCAGGGCACATGCCTGGGCCTGCAGGCTCGATCGCCAGTAGGGGGCATGAGGAGGCAGCCGATCAGTGTTTCTCTCTCACATTGATGTTTTTTTATCTTTCTCTCCCTTTATCTCTCCTCTAAAAAAATCAATAAAAAACATAATTTTAAAAATAAAGTGAATGATCAGTGAGTTCTATTTGGTATTATTTGGTAGTATTTAAGGTAAAAAAAAAAAAGCATGTTGGTGCCTTGGATGGCTTAAGACAATGGAGGTGAGCTTGAAGTTTATGCCAAGAATGAGGGTCGATGTTTCCTGGGAACTGGTCGTAGGAGTAGGCTGAGTCCTTTTTTTTTTTTTTTTAATAAATTTTTTTCTTTATTGATTTTAGAGAGAGAGGGAGGGAGAGGGAGAGAGAGAAACATCGATGAGAGAGAACATCAATTGGCTGCCTCCTGCATGACTCCTCTGGGGATTTGACCCACAATCTGGGCATGTGCCCTGACCGGGAATCAAACTGGAGACCTCTTGGAGGGAGGGAGAGAGAGACAGAGAGAAACATCGATGTGATAGAGCCACATTGATTGATTGCCTCCTACACGACCCCACCAAGGCCAGGGACGAACCACAACCAAGGTATGTGCTCTTGATCGGAATTGAACCTACAACTCATTGGTCCACGGGCCGGCACTCTACCTGCTGAGCAAAACCGGCCAGGGCTCTAATATTATTTTTAATTCTCTAATTTAAACCTGTCTCAGTTGGCAGCTAATGTGAATTGCTTTCTGTTAGTTGGGAATTTTTTATTCTGGATGCTGTATCCTCAAATGAGAAGAGAAGTATGTTGTGTCTCTTTCCTGCTTCTATAAAACTTTTTTTTTTTTTTAATCCTCACCCGAGGATATTTTTCCTTTTTTTTTTTTTTGTACAGATAGAGTCGGAGGGAGAGAGAGAGAGAAACATCGACGTGAAGAGACACATCAAGTGGCTGCCACCCGCATGACCAACCAGGGCCGGGGACAAACTGCAACTGAAGTACGCGCCCTTAGCGGGAACCGAACCCGGGTCTCTCCGGACCGCAGGCCGACGCTCTAACCGCTGAGCCAAACTGGCCAGGGCTATAAAACTTTTTGTCTCTCTCATGGAATTAGAAGAGGAGAATTCAGCAAATATTATACTTTTGTTTTGTAAATTCATAGCACTTAGAGTTAACCCAGATTATATTATTTCCATGCTGGATTTAAAATAGCTATTATGTTTACAATAAGGAGAGTATGATATTTTAACATTTATCAATGTTTATTTAGCTTTTACTATGGTTATGTAGGAATATATATCACCAAGGTCTTCTGATAAGAAGTAAAGGAGAAGGGTAGGGGGAGCGGGGTGGAAGGGGACAATGGGAGAAGAAAGAAGAGACATCTGTAATACTTTCAACAATAAACATAAATGTATTTATGGACACAAATATTAATGGTTCAATATTTGGGCCGAAGGGAAGTTTGCATTTGTTTTAATGCTACTGAATATTCATTCCTTTCTTTTCCTTTGAGAATTTGACAATATTATTCATAGTGAGGCAGTAAGATTTAGGGAAAGAGTACAGAGCTAGTAGTAGAAAATCTGTTGCTTGTCAACTGTATGACTGTGTCACTCACCTAACTACTAGTATGTGCTAGGATGTTTTAATCAGAAAAATGGGTGCAACGTTATCTGTCACAGGCTTGTAATGAAGATAATGTAAGTAACATGATAGTACTTTGAAAAATTAAGGGTATTACATAATCATAGACTATGATAAAATTATTAACTATAAAAATGATCAACACCTGTTTTAATGGAAAATGGAATGTATTAGCACCATCTTGTGGAAATATAATGAAGTATATAATTGCAATTTTAATAAGATAATTTACTATAAATAACACTTTAGAGCTGCAAGAATCCTTACAGATCATCTAATTCAGGAATTTAGAAACTATGTTCTTTGGAACCCTAGGTTTCTGCCAGAAATGCTTCAGAGTCTCCTTTAAGAGGAAGAGGAGCCCTGGCCGGTTTGGCTCAGCGGTTAGAACTTCGGCCTGTGGTCCAGAGAGACCCGGGTTCAGTTCCCGCTAAGGGCAGTACCTCGGTTGCAGTTTGTCCCCGCCCTGGTTGGTTGTGCGGGTGGCAGCCACTCGATGTGTCCCTTTCACGTTGATATTTCTCTCCCTCTCTCTCTCTCTCCCTCTCTCTCCCTCCCACTCCAGCTGAACAAAAAATGGAAAAAAATGTCCTAGGGTAAGGATTAAAAAAAAAAAAGGAGGAAGAGGAGACTTAGCCACAACTCTCTAAGATCCCCATCTTGCTGCAGAGAAGTTAGGCTTTAATCAGTTTCCTATGTAGTATGTCCTTGTAAGATTTTGCTTGAAAGAATGATTCTCACCTGGCTGATGTTGCTCAGTGGTTGAGCATTGACCCATGCACCAAGAGGTTGCCAGTTCTATTCCGGGTCAGGGCACATGCCCAGGTTGTGGGCCAAATCCCCAGTCCAGGGGCATGCTGAAGGCAACCATTCGATGTTCTCTCTCATCGGTGTTTCTATCTCTTTTTCCCTCTCCATTTCTCTTTCTCTAAAAATCAATAAAAGAAAAAAAAATGTTAAAAAAGAATGACTCTCCTGCTTATAGTATGAAAATGACTGATATACATATTAACTTCATTTTGTACAGATAAGGAAATAGAAATTTAGAGATTAAGAGATTTATACAAGGGCACCTACCTATGGCACTAGATCTCCACAATCGTTTAGGAATAGAATAGTCTTTTTCTAAATGTCAATAGAGATGTTCCCTCTTTGATTCCTGATTTTAGTCATTTGAGCCTTCACCTTTGCTTGGTCAGCCTAGCTAAGGGTCCATCAATTTGTTGGATCTTTTCAAAGCACTAAATTTTGGCTTTCTTGATTTTCTGTATAGTTTTTCATTTATCGATCTCATTAATTTCCACTGTAATCTTTATGACTTTTTTCCCTCTGTGCTTGCTTTGTGCTTAGTTTGCTCTTTCTTTTTTATTTTCCTAAGGTGGAAGGTTGAGATCTTCCTTTTTTTTTAATGTTGTTGTTTAGTTATAAAATTTTCCTAAAGCATTGCTTTAGTTATATCAAATAGTTTTGGTATGTTGTGTTTTCCTTTTCATTCAACATGAGGTATTTTCTAATGTCTCTTGTGTTTTATTTTTTTGACTTACTGGTTATTTAGGGGTGTGTTTTTAAATTTCCACATACTATTTTTCTTTTGGATTTCTAATTTAATTCCATATACGTGGAGAACATACTTTGTATGATTTCAATCCAGTTAAATCTACTGAGGTTTTTTAGGCCTGGAGTATGTTCTGTTCTGGGTGATGTTCTATGTGTACTTGAGAAGAATGTATAGTTTGTTGTTATTGGATGGAATGTGCGGTATATATGTTTGTTAGGTTAGTAGGTTTATAGTATTGTTCAAGTCTTCTATATCCTTTCTAATGCTCTGTCTAGTTGTTCTGTTATTGAAAGTGGGGTAT